GGCTGTGACGCCCCGGATCGAGCAGCCCGCGGTCCCCCAGCCCGAGGCGGACCGTGGTGAATGGTTCCGGAGGGGCTCTCCTAAGCACAGGGGGCTCGCTCGCCTTCACGGAGCTCAGGCACTTGCAGCAGATCATGCAGGCTGGGGAGTGGAAACTGACATCTGCTACTGCCGAGGCAGGCGAGGAGGGCCTTTGTTTCATTTTTTTAAACTGTTCGGGCCCATTTGAAGAGTAGATGTAAATTTTACTAACACTCTCAGCCCGCTAATCTCCTGCTAGTCTCAGAAAACGTCCTTTCCTAAACACTGTAGAGAAGTGACAGAAAATAAAAAAGGCTAAAAAAAAAAGCTAACAGTAAGCAGTCCAAGTGATGTTTCCGTTGTACTCCTATCTCTGTCTTCTCATTTCAAAGCCATCTTCCCCTTCACAAGCACTAAACAGACTGTTTGCAAGCCCCGATTTATTGAGATAACCGCTTGGTCCATTAATCACCGGTCAGGTATGTCCCGTTTAGATGTACAGATAAACCTTCACTTTCCTAGAGAGCAGGCTTTAGAATAATGGCCCTTTCTAAGCAATGAATGCAAACATCAGAGTTTCTATGAAAATATAATTTTACACATAGCATGTACGTTACATAAGCAAGTTACAGACGTTGGAATAGGAGCGTAACTTTGAAGAAGGCGGGAACAGAAATAAACAGATTGAAACCAATGAAAAATACACAAGTCCTGGGCATGATATTAAGAGCACAGCCCCAGAATAAATCTATTTAAGTCAGTGCTAGAGCAGTGCCAAACTGATTTAAAGGCAACATCTTTTTGCTTTGATTTATCAGAAAAACACATCCAGCAAATGGCTTTTCCACCTGATACCTCTTACCCTCATGCTTAATAGTCCTTACCTCCTACAGACCCCTTTTTGTCAATCATGCAAAGGTAGAAAGTCTGAAAAAGGCTGCAGTTTATAGAAATAAATCTAAACCCAAAGTGTGCATGTGATACAGCTTATCAGAGCAGCAGTCCTTCAGCTTCAATGATGGCAATTCAAGCAATTCTACCTTCGCCCTCACGGAGGAACCCAAGAATAGCACACTGCTATCAGTTCTGGCTCCGGGGATGCCTTCTTTTGTCCCAGCTTACACACAACGTTAGCATGGCTGAAAGGTACACGACTGCCAGCCCCCCCGAGAAGCCTTTTGTCTCAAATATAACGCACTGTTGCTCTGGAGAGCATGTGTTTCCATATTTGGTTCAGTTCTCAGCTCTCCGGTGGCCGTAAGCACATTAAACGTGACCATGGTTAGTTAACTGATCTAAGAACAAGAACAGGCTGTCTCCTGTATCAGCTAATAACCGTTTTCTTCATGGCAAAACTGGATAGCTACAGACAAGGCTGGATTGAAGATTTATCCATTAGAAGCTCCTCTTAACCATTAGATTATATTAACAGCTTCCTGTGTCTTCAGCGCTCCAAAACCAAACTGCTCATCTTCAGTAGCAGAAAGGGATATGGACCTGGTAACTGAAGACCCTGAAAAGGGTCTTAATTTTCTCCATGGAGTTCTAGCCTTGGTATGTGGCTCTTGCTGAAATAAAATTGATCAGTAAAACCTGAAGAAAGAAGCACTTAAGAATTTGCAATACAATAGATTTCAGTATAACAACCCCATTGCTCTCTTTACCAACCGCCCAGAGACCATGCAACAGAAAAACTACTTCCAGGGAGGAAGAAAATTTATATTTCTTTTTCAAGAGAGATGTATTCCCCTTGCTGCAGCCCACTGATGAACTTTGTCAGTGATGAACTTTCCTACTGTTGTCTGTAAGGAGAAATTGTCCAGAACGAGAGGCGTGTTCTGTTGTGCCTGTGTGGCACAGAGCCACATGTATGAGCCTTGAGCTACTTCCTGGACAGTGAAGCAGTGAGGAAATAAATAGGTAGCGTTGCTGCCTATTACAGATGGCAAAAATATAAAACCCAGTAGGAACTAGTATTTCCATAGTAAAGTAAAGTTATGAGCCCGGTGTTGTGTGAACAGGAGACGATACAAAATCTCAGCATCCACTAGAAAATGAGTAAAACACAGTATAATGCGTGCAGAAATATACAGAGAGCACTTGCACTAGTATAAAAATATCCACAGTCCTCAGACAAACGTAAACCAGTACAAAACAATTCCAAGAACGGGAACATGTTCGCATGAGCAAGGCCGCTCCCCTGAGGGCTCAGAAATGGATTAATCAGAACGATCAACAATTAGAAGTGAGCAGAAATCCAGAAAATCCTTAAAAAGTCTAATAATAAAGCAGCCTCAGGACCTTCTTCGTGTAACTGGAACCGAGGTAAGTGCTGCAGTAGCACCAGGAATCCCAGCACTGTGCTCCCAGAGAAGCTGCATTGAGGCTGTCACTGAAGGAGCTGAAGAGCTGGAAATGCTTCATCCAGGAGACGTTGCTCAATTTTGTAAAAATGTAATCAGAGACCTGCTTGTGGTTGAACGGGATCTCATTAGGAAAATGTTAAGCTTAGTGTACCCAGTATGTGGTGACTTCTTCCATGATTGCTTAATGGAGGCGGTTGGTAATCTGTAACAGCACATTCAGAATCCGATTGTTCTGCAATCAGTCCTGAGACTCATGGAGAGAGGCACAATGGTTCTGACTACAAACCATGATAATTTACTTGAAATACTTGGTCTGCAACAGGGTAAACCTATGGAATCTTTAGACTTGAAAGATACAGGTAAGGTTCTTCAGTGGACAAGAGGTCATATAAAATACAGAGTTCTCATATTCGCAGCTTATATACAGATCCCTGTGCAACAGTGCTAGATCCCTCGGGATATAAGGATGTTAGTGAAGATCCTGAAGTCATGCAAGTTCTTCAAAATTTGTATCGAACCAAGTCTTTTTTGTTTTGGGGCTGTGGAGAGAGTCTGTGTAATCAGATATTCCAAGGTCTTTATGTAAAGACTAAAGTGGATTTAGAACATTGTAGGTTGGTGCTTAAAGAAAACGATGACCACTTAAGTGGCAGATATGCTGCTGGACGGAATAAAAGTACTCTCCCACAGGGACTGCTTTCACCAATTCCTAGAGTGTGTACAAGATCTGACTGCTCAAATCTGCAAGTAGAGAAGTCCAGATGCTGATCAAGGGGAGAGCACAACACGGCTGGGAACTTCCTGTGTGGACTGTGCTAAATGGAAGTTGGGAGAAAATGGCACTGACTTTCCAATGAGAACCAAGCAGTCAGTAACGGTATGCCCGCTATTTAATAATTAAAAAAAAACCAACCCAACACCAAACCACAACCCAACTCAGACACTTTTGAACAGTGTTTTACATCTGCTGCATGGCAAGCTCTGAGCTAAATATTCCCATGGATTTAAGTGGAATCAAAATTGTGCATCTCAGCCCTTAAAAAAAAGAGTGTAGATTTCGACTGAGTATAAGGAAGACATTTTCTACAATAGGGTGGTGAAAAACTGCAACAGGTTGCCCAGACAGGTGGTGAAGCCCCCATCCCTGGAGACATTCAAGGTCAGCCCCAAGCCAGGGCTCTGAGCAACCTAACCTAGTTAAAGATGGCCCTGCTCACTGCGGGGAGGTTGGACTAGATGACCTCTAAAGGTCCCCTCCAACCCAACACATTCTATGATTCTGTATGAATATAAACCAATAAAACCAGGTGCACCCTCTCCCAGCCTTATGCACAGCACAGACACCCAAGTAGTCCACAGAAGGGGCACATGTACTGAGAAGGAGCAGAGCCTGCCATCGGAGCTTTGAAGTCAGCAGTGTCTACCGCACATGGCAGCCAGCGCACTGGAAGTACAGCTGACTGGCCGCAGAAGGGCAGAGACAGGCAATGCAGAAACAAACCCACAAAACCAAAAAGAAAAACCCACCCTCAGGGATTTTAGGGCTTGTTCTTTCCCAAGCAGTCCTCGATTCCTCATGCACCCCAGAAGCAGGCATTCCAGGGAGATGGTGGTGTCACTGATGGGGTTTATCCTACCTAGTGGTGTGGGTAAGGGTTCGGTGGCCCCGGCAATGAGTGGGCAGCAGCACACAGTGATGCCTGTGCACAAGAGGTGAAAAACTCTCTTGCTAAAAAGAGGAAAGGGCAGGAGAAAACAACAAACAGAGGGGTTGTAAGTACCTCAGGGAAGCAGCTGATTCCAGCTCCCCCGCAAATGAAATTCTTCAGTAAATAAGCAAGCATCAAGATCCCATAGTCCCCATGGCAACAAAGCAAATGCAGAGAGGCCTCAGAAATGAGTGGGAAAAGCAGGGCTAGGAAGTGGAAGCCTGAGTCTGCAAGAAAGGGAGCTTTGCCAAGCTGGTGATCTTTGCTTTAAACCATGCATAAAACATCCAGAAGGCTGTGTTCCCTCCCCAGGTCAGATTTCTATACTTTCAGTCTAGAATGTCCAGAAGGTTCACTCTGCTCCTGCAGCATGTGGAAGTCCAGGACCAAAGTTGGTCAAACCTTAGGCTTGTGTAATGTAGCAGCTTCTTCTGACTCATGAAAGCAAAGCTTCACATTTTTGCCATCAGTCCAGATTTATGTAATACCATGTACAAAACAACAGACTTGAAATGCCCAGGCTGCAGTCTGTACCAAATGTCGCAGGAATGGAGAAGCAGAAGAAGGGAGCAATGCATCATTAAGGCCTTCAGGGTTTAGTTGACAGGACAAAGCAAGGTGTTCTTTCTCACAGACCTGTCATTTCAGTCTCAGAACACTGTCTGCATTTGGGCATGGAGAGTCAGATGCCAGGCGTCCATGCACACAACATGCATTACCCGTTGTTTGCAGAGAAGCCCTCTTTTTTGGCAGCTTGAGTTGGACTCCTTCCAGCACACATGCTTTTTTGGTCATTCTTTGAGCTCAGCAGCAAGTTACAGGTTTCCATAGTGACAAGACTTAAAAGCTTGATTAATTCTCCCCATGGTCTTCTTCCACCCAGGCCACAATTTTCCCCTCCCAACCTGGAATGATGTCATCATCATTGAATACCTACAAAAAAGGGAGTCCAGTCATGTGTGGAGTCTAGACACAGCTCTTCCACAGTCTGGGTAGCAGAAGAGGTAGGCATCAAGTCAGAGATCTCAGCTCAGATTTCACTACACAGAGCCCAGAGAACATGTACTTCTTCCACCATTCACATGCCTGAGTAATCTTTTCAGGTAAAAAACGGGTTAGGTCACTTTTTACCAATAACTGTCAAGATTATTATTGGCATGTTTTTGTTAGGAAAGGTAAAATAGAGACAGGAAACACGTCTTTTCTGCTCCAGACTACAATCTCCAGCTGTTTCTGCAGAATGGCTACCTAGCCATCTGACTGCTCCCAGAGAGCGTAACCTTTTACACTTGTTTTAATTTATGAAACGGGAACTATCCCAGTAACCTTTACTGAATCCAGTCCACACCACCAGCAGCCTGAGCATAAACAGGGCTGTAACGCAGTACACTAGGGAAAAGATGCCACAGTTACCTCTGAAAAAACCTTTAAAAGAAAGGAAAATGTTTTTTGAATAAACCATGTTTCCATAAAGTGTGTCTCTCATTGCAACAGATGGTCCCTTCCATCTTAGGCCGTTCTATGATTGCATTGATTGGATTGGAAGGGCTAGAAGTGTAGTCGGAGTTTTTGCCCCTGAGCAATGCTGTGTCACAGACTGGCTTAGCCAATAGCCAGGTCTTTGCCCAAAGGGCTCTGCAGCCCCCAGGCAACTCCTATCACATTCGTGTAATTGCTCTGGCTGGGGATGAAAACATCCCATTTTAGCACCCTGCAATCTACAGTTGTGAAAACAGTCTGTTTAGGGGCAAGTTAAAAGTGAAGTGACCATGGTCTCCAGGGTTGTGTGGTAACACTGGATCCAAAGCACCCCATAGGTAAATGCCACACTTACCTCCTCCTTGACTGTGCCAAACTCTGGATCCAGGGCTTTAAAGTGGTACCGGTGCGTTCCTTCACGATCAATAGCTACCTTAAAATCCTTCAGGGTCACTTCCCCTAACCTGCAAAAGAAGAGTTTGGCACTATCCCATGGTGCACCATTACCAGATTTAGCTCAAGTGTCACCACACAACGTGCAGAACCCCAGCAGAAATCCAACTAGTCATGTGGCACCCTGGCCACGGGGATGTGAAGATCTGCCCTTCCAGGAACATACCTGTTGACCTTAAGGTCCTCTTCAGAGCAAGAGTTGCCTCCTGATTTGCTAAGAACCACCTCAAAACAGCTTTTTTCAGTTTCTCTTTTGTACTGACAACCATAGTTGTTTTGACTGGAGTGTCCTGCACTATATGCCACAATAGCTGCTGTCTTTTGCTCTTGGAAGTTTTTATAAAAAGAGATGAATCTCTGAGGGCTCTAAACCAAACGCTTTAAGAAAGCTTCCCCAGACAATGGTATGAAATCCAATATCCAAGTTAATGCACAACAAACCCATGTTGTGACCATATTCAAAAGAGACTAATGCTTTAAGGGAAACAAGCACCTCCTACATCAGTGTCAGGAAGGCAAAAGCTAGACCTCACCTCTTTGGTATGTTGACCATGAAAGGTGTGAGGGAGCGGTCAGTGAAGTACAACACTTTGGTGCAGGCGCTGGTGCTCATCACTGGGGTGCTGTGAGAATGAGGCAACTCTGTAAAGAAAAGCGCACCCTTGTGGGGAAACAGCCCGTCTCCTGCCACAACAGGAGACAAAACGGGTGGTCTCAGCGAATGTGCCATCAGAGGAGAGAACTGGTGACAGGAAGAGATACTCAGGAGGGCGAGTAATCACCTCCTTTGCGGAGGGTAGACATTCCCCAGCTCATCGGAAAACTTTGCATTTTAAGGTAGAGTCAGCATCCAATTGTACTGCTAGCATGGAAGATTTGCCGAGCACTGTGGCTGCTCCCAAAACTGCAGTTTATGAGAGAGGAGGGAGAATCTAGCAAATCCTTCCCAGAATCCACTTCACGCTTCTGAGTTCCTCTCCTACCTTCCTCCACATCTTGTACCTCCAGGCTACTCTGCAGCTGAAAGGTGGAGTTCTCTGTCTTTCCCCAGTACCTACTGTCCCCTACAACCTCATAGACTTTCTGGGTGACCTTTATGACCAATATTGGAAAAAACAGTCTTCACGATGAAAAGCAAACCTGGAGGTGCTAGAGCAGCCTGTGCTGTTACACATACACAAAAGGTGCTGGACACTGAGGGGCGAACAGGGGAAGAGGCAACCATACAGTTATCTGTGTCCACTAGATGGCACACAAACCATCAGGAAAGCTGAAATATCCCATTTCCCTCTCGTCCTAGTGGTAATTGTTTGTTGTAGTTATTTATACTGCAGTACTTCCACAGTGGCCCAGACAGACTCCCACTGTGATGATGCTTTACAAACAAGCAGCCACAGATTGTCTCTGCCTCCTTTGCTTTGCAGTGAAGTCTAATCAGTACAGCAAATTACTAGAGGGAGGAAAGTGAGCTCTGGTAAACTGAGTAAGAAGGTGGAGAAGGCAGATTCCCAAGGGGGATGCTATGCCCTAGACTTTGGCCCAGAAACCTGAACAATGAATTTGGCAGTGGGATTGCAGGAGCCAAAAGGCACTTACTGGATTTGGGAGGCCAGGAGTCTCTACACTCATTCGTTGTGCTGCTTGCTGGTGATTTCGCCCAGATCTAGGATGCAAAGCCAAAAGAGTGAGAACAAAGCGTCACTTCCCAGTTGAAGCTCCCGTTGCTGCTTAGCTCTGGGTTGTGAAGGGCAGAAGTTAAGTGCCCTAGGAAGCCTTTACCCTTCTCTCTTGCCTCTTCTGTGTTTCCATGTGGTACAACCGTTCCATCAGGCTGGAGATGCCCTGTTCCAGGCTGTCAATGGTGTGGTGCTGTGGATCGTGGCCACTGAAACTGTTCCTGAGGCTGCGAAGGGCATCACGAACCAGCTGCAAGTCATTTGTCTGCTCAAGAGACCACAGGTCAGTCAGACTAACTCCAGGCTGCCTTCTTGCCATCTAAAGCCACAGGTCTTAGAAAGGGGAAATATCTCTTAACAGGATAATAGCTTCCAGGATATCTGGAGCCCTCACCTCCATCTGGCTGGGAAAATATCCCTTAGGTGCACTTACCCCTCGGTGGACTGTGGAAACAGCTCCTTTTCCTGCTGTCTGGAGGAAGCCATTGCTCTGAGCACTATGACCACTGTAAGCCATCACCTATTCAGGGGAAGACGCATGTGGAAATGTTAGGACCTCCCCAAAGATCACAATTTGTGAACTTCAAAAGGATGAGAGGGCATGAAAACTTTCCATATCAGTGACGTAGCTCCTGTCTTCTACTAGATAAATACACTTGCTAAGAGGTGTGCAGGCAGTCCTATAGGTCAGAGCACATAGAGGATTCCCCACATACAAGTGGAGAAAAAGAAGCAGAGACATGAAGGGGCTTGCTGCTACGTCATAGAGGGCTCTGTAAGCTCTAGGGAGCATAATCAGCATTCCAGTGGCACTGTGTAGGAACACATAGTGGGGCTGGCACTCTTTCCACCAACATATTTCCAAGTGTTTAAAACCAGAGTCAACAGGAAAAGGAGGAGGTAAGAAACTAAGTTCTGGTCTAACCATTAGCCGGTGTCAGAGCTGAAGACAGAAGCCAACAGTCTCTGGCTTCCATTCACTCCTGGGCTTCCCTCACTGTTTCATTCCTTAGGATTTTGACACAAGAGTCTAAGCCAGAGCGTTCAGTGCTGAGAGCATTGGTGAGTTGGATGCTTTGTGGAGTCTGGCTGCCTTGGTGAGGGCACTGACAATGACACTGTAGAGCTAGGCCTCTCTGGGATGAAGGGGATGATTTTCTGGAGCGATCTAGCTAGAGAGTGCTGGAGAGGAACACCACTCCAACAGCCTGATGTATAGACCAAGGCTTCCCATACCTCTTCGGCTTCTCTCTTCATGCATTGAGCTAGCAGTGCCTCCTTGTGCTCCAACTCCCGTTCCAAATCCACCTGTGAGAGCAGAAGAGTCAGCACAAACTGAGCCACCAAGGAAAGTGCCAGCTCACAAGGCACCAGTGCAGACCACCTGCCCCATACCTGTTGGTAGCTGGCCTCAGAAAGCTGCCTAAGCATTTCATCCAGTTTGGTCTGATGCTGCTGTAAATGCCGATCTTTCTGGCACAGTTCTTTCTGCAACACAGTAATCAAGAGAATCAAAAGGACAGTGAGTAAGGCTCACGATATGTGGCAGGGAAGGTTTTATCATCTGCCAGGATCAGCCTCCTCTTGCACAATACATGTACTGCCATCTAGATATTAGAACTGAGCATCAAAAGATCAGCCAGGTGATTCTTGCCTGGAGTCCCCTTGCCTAGCAAAGATCCACTACTGAGGCCAGACAACTGTCCCAGAGAAAACAGATTTCTGAGACATCAGTGGAAAATCACGTGATTCAACCTAATCTAATAGGCTTCTGCACAAGCATCAGGTACTCAGCAAGCCATCACAGAAAAACCAGGACAATAAAGGATTTACTACAAAATGCTGTGGGCAAGACATATAGAACATCTGACCCCTCCATTTCATTACAAACACCTATGGCTATTGCGATTTATTCACTATCCACAGTGCCATTCCCAGAGGTGACTGTGTGCCAGGGAGACAGCAGTCACATTCACAAAAATGAAGAACCACCAGATGCTGCCCCCAGCAAAGCCTCCAGTGAAGAGAGATTCCATTACTTTATATTCTGCCAGTAGCCGGTTTCTCTCTTCAACCTTCCTCTGAAGGTCAACCTGCAAAAATAACACATAGGTGTGAGGCAAGTATTCCCAGAATGTTAGTGGCAACCTCTTTGCCCCTCGTACAATAGACTGACCCAAGACTAAATATCTACTAAATATCTAAGCACAGCACCCTTTTGGACTGCACAGTTCCTCCCTTGCCCTTCTCTCTCCAGAGAGGCACTGTACATGGCAGCTCCACCTGTCAAAGTGCCACTTGCTAACCCAGGGAGCACAATGAGGAAGGAAGAATGTAGCTGCATGGAAAATATCCTGAGAAGCTCCTCCCTTTCTCAGCTGAAGGTCCTGGAGGACAGGAAGTGGGAATGAAGAACAGAAACTCCAGCAAGTCTCACAGCTGGCTAATAGACTGTGTGCAGTATTTACTGTGCAGAGACCTTTGACTGGTTGCTCACTGTCCCACGACCCCAAGAACTCTGCTGCAACCACCGATTCCATCCTGTGGCTGCTGAAGCCCTCAGGGCCACCAATCTCCTTCTAAAATAATCTAACCCTCAGCAGCACAGTTACTCACGTTCTGGTTGTGCAATTCCTCCTTGTCCATGTTTGCTCTCAGCAGTTCTTGCTTTAGCTGAAGAACTGAAGCATCCTGTTGAATCAGCCTTTGCTGTAAAGCATCCTAGGAAAAGATGTTATCTGTAGGAAGGTGCAAGGCAGAGGCAAAGACCTTTCTTTGAGAAGTCAGTGACCTAGACCAGTGGCTATAACACAGGAGGGGCACTCACAGGACTGAAGCAAGAGGTATATCGACATCTGCCCAGTGGGAGCTCAGCCCTTCTGCCTTTTGTCTTACCCAAAAGCAACTTCACTGCCAACATTCTAGCCATCTGCGACAGAGCGAATTTTTTGTGCTTCTGCCTGAGCTTCCTGCTCGAGAAGTGGCCTGACAATTTGCTCTTGTGGAAGAAAACAGCAGTGTTTTTGGAAGGTCTTTTCAATGGCCTACAGCTAGTGCCTCCAGCCATGCATCTGCAGCATCCAGAGGGCAGAAAGAGGTCAGTGTCAGCCAAGGACAAGAGGAACGCTTTCAATGTGACCTAATTGTGCAGTGAAATCCTCTCCAAAGAGGCCGAAGTCAGGACTAATTCTGCACCTTTCACTCAGTGTTGCCCAAAAGCTGAGCACTGTACATTGGACAGTTACTGCTATTTGCTTCCTTCACAGGAGCCTGACAGGCAGCTCTGGAGTAGATCATTAGTGTTCAGAACTCCAGAGGGAGAAACTGAGCAAACAGGAGCCAAAGTTGTGAAAAATGCTGCAGCTGAAGAGGACAAGGATAACCTCATGCTCTTTTTCCTCTGCTGTCAAGAATGAGTGCACTGGGACAATTCTACCGTACATATCCCAAGACAGAGGGTGGGTGGG